TTCGTTCGCAAAGATATTTACATTTGTTCGCAAACTTTTTCATTCACTGGCAAACTTTTGCATTCGTTCGCAAAGATATTTGCATTTGTTCGCAAAACTTTTCCATTCACAGGCAAACTTTTGCATTCGTTCGCAAAGATATTTACATTTGTTCGCAAACTTTTTTCATTCACTGGCAAACTTTTGCATTCGCTCGCAAATATTTGCATTTGTTCGCAAACTTTTCCATTCACAGGAAAACTTTTGCATTCGTTCGCAAAGATATTTACATTTGTTCGCAAACTTTTTCATTCACTGGCAAACTTTTGCATTCGTTCGCAAAGATATTTGCATTTGTTCGCAAACTTTTCCATTCACAGGAAAACTTTTGCATTCGTTCGCAAAGATATTTACATTTGTTCGCAAACTTTTCCATTCGCTCGCAAAGATATTTGCATTTGTTCGCAAACTTTTCCATTCACTTGCAAACTTTTCCATTCGCTCGCAAAGATATTTGCACTTGTTCACAAACTTTTCCATTCACTGGCAAACTTTTGCATTCGTTCGCAAAGATATTTACATTTGTTCGCAAACTTTTTCATTCACTCGCAAACTTTTGCATTCGCTGGCTAAGATATTTGCATTCGTTTGTAAACGTTTTCCTCACTTGCAAAGGTATTTGCATTTGCTCGCAAAGATATTTGCCTTCCTTTCGCAAACATTTCCATTCACTCGAAAACTTTTGCATTCGCTCGCAAATAAATTTGCGTTAATTCGTAAACTTTTTCACTCACTCGCAAAGGTATTTGCATTTACAATTTTCCCTCCACCATGTCACTTTAAGGGCTCTGTAAGAAGCTCCGTAAAAAAGAGATATCACAATCCCCTCTGTAAAAACCAATGACTCTAATATGTCAACAAAAAGAAATTTGAACCAAGGTTTATCCAATGTTCATATTTCTGATACGGAAATGTATGTGAATTAGTTCATATTTATTCAAAAATGCCTCATTTCCATCTAGTGCTGTCAAATCGATTAATCGTGATTAATTGCATCTAACAAGAAAGTTTTTGTTTATGTGTGTAAATATATATATAAACACACACATGATATAAACAAACTTTTATGTTAGAATTGATTAATCGTGAATAATCGATTTGACAGCATTTTAGAAAACATGAAATACAAAAGCATTTGTCTTAATGTACTGTGACTAATCAACTATGTAAATAGAGTGATGCCCATTTAAAAAAAAAAAATTACCATTACCAAAATGACAAAGACATCTGACCTGGGCTGTTGGGATGAAGTTGTTGAGGTTTAGTTGAACCCAATGTGCATCGCTGTTCATCTAATCTTCCACGCTGAGCGTTACAAACGAGGGAAAACAACTGATCCTGTTCCCCTGAAACTGACTGCCAAGACCAAACATTTCAATCAATTTGAACATTCTTAACAGGTTGTAGTAAACATACACTGTTAATATTGTTTCACATCAATTAAGTAATAATAAAATATAGCAGAAAAGTTTAGGGTCAAAAGTTTAGAAATGTAAAAACAATACCTCCATTTTGTCCTCCACAGACGTCATCTCCTACAATGTTCATCTGTATATTCTTCTTAATAAGATACAAATATCAATGCATACTTCTTTAGAACAAGTATTAAAATCTCAGTCATAGTGCAATCTACTTGTGTACAAACTTGCGAGCAAGCTTCTCTCTCCAGCCTGAAGTAAAGCTCTACCAGGATGGATGGATGGAGTGCTTTTAGAAGGTCTTAAGCTTTGAATATAAACCGGCACCCATTAGGAAACCTAGATGGGGGCAGTCTTTAATCCCAGATAAAAACAGTTAATCCTCTCTATCATGCAGCGATGATCTTTTATCATGGGGGACAATTATTGGAGCAGTGACATCAGTATCAACAGACCATACCATCCTGATACCTGATACCATCAGTCTGTGTTTAGTTTGGTAACTCTATAGAAACGATTAATGGACTTCTAAAAACCAGCAGACAATACACAAACATTGGATTATTCTGTTCAGGATCAAATTCAAGGATTTTCAACCAAGAGTGGAGCAACAGGAAGTTTAGCTGCAAATATGTACAAAAATAGGATGTGAAACTCTTTAAGCAGCACTATGTAGCTTTTTCAACCTAGTACTTTTCCAAAACACTTGAGATGGTACATCGACTTACAATAGGTTGAATGACAGGTCTGCCATTGCTTGACAGTGTCTGTATCGCTTTTACTGGCACTCTGTAACTTCGGGGAGCGGGTAGGAACCATAGACTGTAAAAAATATGGACAAAGCGTCTGTGACGTCACCCATAGACTCTCTGAAGAACGGGTTTGAGGCTGTTTATGGGGGGTATGGGCGGCGCCATACTGGAAAATCTTGGGAAATACAAAATGCAAATGTTCAAAAAGGATACAGAGGTGGTATGATGTGTTGTGTCAGATCATGGCCGAGACGTCAAATTCCTCTCGGCGCAGCCCGCTATCGGCTGTCAATCAAAGTTAACCGCCCTTATTTGCCATACATTTTATATCTAAATATGATCTAAACTAACGAGTTAGAAAAAATTCACCCCCCTCACAGTTGTCAGGAACGCTGAACATATTGAAGATTACAATAAAAGTCCATGGGACCAAACTGTAAAAACATGAATTTATGCTGTGAAAACAGACATTTTAACATGGGGTAACATTTGCTCCCTTTTGGGACCTTCCTCTAGCGGATTTTAGATGTATTGCAGTTTTTCGCACTTCCGGGTAGGCTTCATGTTTCAGATTAGAATGCTGACGCTTGGTAGGAACCCGAGCACAAAAAGAACTACAAAATTCGACTGCTTTACGGCATACATCACTTCCCCCACTTCCTCAAATTCTGACGCGATAGCCCAACAAGCGTTTTTTTTTTTTAACCTCTGAATGTTGTCATGGCTGATGCAGCGAGTAAAACCAAATGTGAAGTGCGTCAGAAACAGAGCGTGCGCGGCCGTGCGTGATCAGTTTACTGTTGGAAATGTATTTCGCACCTCGCTGCATCCAGTGTAGACTGCATTGCTTCCTTTTGAGGGCGCTTAACACACTGTCGATTTTTGCTGCCTTGTCGAAAAATGCTAGCCTGGTTCAACCAGACTCTAGTTCATTTCATTTCCACTGAAGTAAAATGAAATTGAGCGGAAGTGCGTAGGAGGGTGCAGCCAGGCTAGAAAAATGCTACTGTAGCGCGAATGGGCTCTATGCACGGCAGTATTTCCGGTGAAGCATTAGGGATGCTCGATAACTTCCGCCGATCGTAGAGTCCAATGCAATGCCGAGAATTTATATTGAATTTTATACTCCATGGTTATACTAAAGAAACGTTAGTCACAAAAACAGATAAAACAGACACCCCTCGTTGTGTTTATGCTTCTTTTTAAAATTATATTAAATAAATATAACTATATATAAAATTACATCTAAACGTATGTACGTTTCATTTCAAAGACTGGAGGACAGTAAATATTGAAGACTCTGCCATAATCCCGTTTTCCTCGGTTTTCCTCCGCTTTAATCTCCACAACCGGAAATGCATCCTTGCGTCAAATGCGGAATTTATGCGTGCATATAGCCCATTGATCACAGAATGTCGATTAAAGTCGTATGAAATACAATAATACAATTCTAAGTTATGAGTAGCTACTGTATACTGTAGACTACTGTTTTTATTTTTTAAACGGTGTGAAAAGTAAAAATTATCATAAAATATTCATCTTTGACTTGTCAAAGTAGTAACTGAAACTTTCTGTTATTCTTTTTCAGCTGGCTGACCGTACAAATAGAATATGGTAGTAAGCATTTTTAAAGGGAAATTATACATTATAACAGGAAAATGTACTTTTTGTAAAAAAAAATAAAAAATAAAAATTAGACGGACAATAATTGGTCAGGATAACTATCCTATGTCTGCAGGCTGATAGTCATGTTTGTTATTTATTTTTCTGGTGAAAGTGTCTTGCCTCAGGTTATAATGCAAATCGATTATTTAAATTTGCAGATTCATCTATGGTAGCTGATATTATAATATTGACGATATGGCTATATCTACCACACAAACATTCAATTGAATTAGCATAACCATTTTATAAAACAGTAGCTAATAGTCTACTATAACGACGCTGGCTTTTGACGTTTGAAAAAAATAAAGCCCATGAAACTATATTCATAAGACATGCTGAAATGCCAATGTACCTGGGATGAAGACATTTCACTCGCAACGCTGGAGTCTGCCCAAGATGTGAGAACTCCTTCCTTCTGCAGAGTTCGGGGGTATCGCCTGTCAAGTTAAACAAATGCACGTGTGTATTTCCATGACAGATGTTACGACAGTAGTAGAAGTCAATACTGTTTCCCAACTGTAGGGGGACCCCGAGAGCAAAATTTCAAAAGTAACATAATTCTGCTTTAACCACAAATGAATTACTATTATTTAACAAATCAACAGTGAAATTAAACACTTAACTTTCAATGAAAATACAAATTGCAGCTTCAGGAAGTCAAACTATTAGCCGTGTGCATTATTTACTTATTTTTACCATGCTATCAGATTTTGGATTGTAGAAGAATTGGATGCAGTAAAAGAAAGTTCAACTCTATTACTTCAGCAATAAAAAAAAGAAAATAAAAAAAAGAAACCCAACTGTGACGTAAATCTGAAGTCATTTTCGCTTATTGGTGTGGTTGAATCAGATCATCGAATGTCAGCATCAAAGGCATTGGTTAATAAAGTGAGATTAAATACATATTTGTGTTATTAACTATTGCACGCTTGTGTAATATTCCGAGTTTGCATTTCACTGTTATATTCATCTTGAGCAATACTGAATCCGTTTGTGTGTTAGTGATATGAGTAAATGCTCACATTAGCCTAGATTCTAGGCTGAAAAAGTAAATTTACTAATGCAGCACTAGTTAGTTGAAAAAAAGTAATCAATTTGAGTTAGCCCAACACTGCTCAAGCATCTCTTTCTAGAATGAGTTATACGCAAACTTTATTTAGAACTGTTAACAAATAGACAACAGACACAAAGAGCCAGTGAACCACATCCACCGATATGTGATAACGTAACAATAAACGAAAAAAGTGCACAAGTTCAGAGCATGAAAAACAAAAAGACACCTATACTGGGATAAAACATTTCATGCCTTCACCAAAACAAGGGCAGAAAATACAACAAAACCTGACTGGAAATCAGAAATGGACAACTGCCTGTACCATAAGCAGGCTTATCTTGCAAACTCTCCTTTTCCACATTGTGCAGCTTTACAGTAGCAGTGAGGCAGTAAGTAAAGTCAGGTGGTACAGCATGTCCAAAGAAGTCTTCAAATCACATCAGAACTCGATACGACTGATATTCAAAGGGCGCGAGGCACGATTTAATCCGCACATTTCTAAGCTATTTCACATATATAATCTCATAGATATATCTCTTTTCTTTTAAATTAAGCATCAGTCATCAACAGCATGAATATATATACACATACATATACCACCAGTTCAGCTTGGGTAATTAAAATGACAACTTTAAAAGCAAATAGGCTAGATCTAAAGGTCTTTTGACGAGAATCCTAACTTCAGAGTATCAGGTTTCACAGAGTGGGATGAACCTCTTCGGGGATGTACAGCTAAACGGCTGCAGGCTTCTCCAAATCCTTCAGGTCGTTCAGAAAGCTGGTTGGAGTAATAATGTGAGATGATCCTGCAGAAGAAAAGCATATTTGACATTTTAGACAACATTGAAGACAATGGCATCCTCAACCCTGCTCTTGGAGACCCACTGACTGTCCCAGAGAGTTTAGCTCCTCCAACCCTCATCAAATCGGACTAAAAATCGGATAAATCCTGTGCAGGACAGTGGGTCTCCAGGAAGAGGGTTGAAGACCTCGGTCATTTGCAGAAGTCCATCTTCTCTTACCAATCAGAACCTCCCACTTGCCCTCGGTGGCCCGGGTCACTTCATAAGCACAGCGCATCTCAGAATGGGTCACGCCGCCAATCACAAAGATGATGAGGCGAGGGCCGCTGCGGTACTCTGTGGCAGACTTGTTCTTGTGCCAGTGTCCAAACCGTGCGCTGCTGGAGTAGGGTTCAAGAGTAACGTCAGAATTTGATTTGACGTCGAGGTGAAAGACGTCTCGCGATATCAGTCGAGTTTGAGGCAAAACCTTTAACACAGTGCTCATATTATGTTGTTTCGTCTCATATTCAGAGAGTAGGACTGAAGTAGCAATTGTTACAAGATAAGGCTGCCATGATTAACCGTTTAAATGATGGATCGCTTGCTTAAAGCTACACTGTGTAACTCTTTTAGTTTATTTTTAGCTAAAAACACTTAGTTCTTTCAAAAATATATGTGGCGGGTGAGGAGTTCTAATGTCGATCGCCATGTTGACCCTCCATCTTGAAAGTACGTTAGCCAAAGAGGGACATACCTGTTAATTCAAGCTTCGCCTTTCGCGTTTACGTTTGAGTTAACACTCATTCACAAGGTCGAACTGGAAGCCATGTTAATCTTGGACTACATTGGCCACCGTAGGAGTTAAAACGAAATAGGAATTGAGAGGAACTAAAATCTAATATTCACTGGATGGTCATATACCTTTTTACCTCTAGATGGGGGTAAAAATCACACAGTGTAGCTTTAAAAAATGACCAGTCGTTTAACCAGCAAAGCTAATTTACAGCAGCACTGATTTGATTTCTGCAAAATACACACACAGGCCAACATGAACAATACACAACTTTTGCCTATAACACATGACCAATCTGCTAGTTCTGGGTGGCATACCGGCTCATACCGAAAACCGGTGTATATTTTTGTTATGATATAAATTTTTAATATACCGCCATACCGACGTATGTCATTCGCTGCGGCGCGCAACACTGTTTCAGACGGACCCTTTACAATGTTGCACTTCTAAGCAGCGGATGCGAGGCCGAGGGTATAGAGTGCCGAAGTTACGACGTCACTCTGTAGGCCAAAACGCGGAAGTGAGTTAGCATTTTAGCACTACCGGTTCCCTCGCTCGGTATTTTTGTATCGGTTTTTGCTAAATTGCCTAAAATAAGGTCTGTGGTGAACAAAACCTCTAAATACTTTCACGTTTTGATCTGACATAAAACACACAGTTATAACTTGCTTGTGGTTTTTTAAACTTTATTGTGTCTGGTTGTGTTTTTAAAAACTTAATATATGCTTCAAAATGTATACATTTTGGATTAACTTGTAGAGATTATCTTGATAGACAAAACGTTTAAGGGTCACAACGCTTTGTTAAACACAGATCTTATTTTTTGTGATTTTCCAAAAGTTGATGGGGAAAATGCATAGCTTTTCAATCGAGGGAACCCATGCGCCGCTAGCTTCCGAGTAAGGATGCACGATATATCGGCCACATTATCGGTATCGGCCAATAAATGATAATTTTTAATTAATTTTTAATAGCCGATATCTAAAAGCCGATAACTAATGTATTATTTCCTTCAGCTGAGGCACTTTAGATGTGCACTTTCAACATGATGCTTTTAAATTGCTTGAAATATGATTGAAATCACTTTAAAAAAGGAAAATCCAGTTAAAGTGCAAGTCTGTCATATCGGCTACACAATATTAAAATAAGAACATCATAATTGTGTTTGTATCTTGACTTTTAATGAGGAGACTTTTTTTATAATCAGGCTCTCAAAAATTGTCTAAAAATTTGGATTTAGATTTATCGGCCAATATATCGGTTATCGGCTCTCAAATATAAAGAATTATCGGTTATCGGTATCGGCCAAAATTGTCATATCGGTGCATCCCTACTTCCGAGTTGTCCTACAAAGTGACATCATCACTTCGGCACTCTATACAGCAGTGCTCTGGTGTTACGTTACAGGGAAGATGGATGCTGCAGAACTCATTTTGCGGCGTTATTTTGCGGGTTAATTTTGCGGCGTTATTCTCCTGTCAAATGTCGAGAGCGCACTATTGTAGTGCGAAAGTACATTAATATAATGCGCGAGCGCGAATCTCTCTTCTCACGCACGCAATATAATGTGCCGCGCGCGCTCTCAGATACACGCTGCTCTTGTAAGAATAGGGCTGCGTCCGAAATCACGTACTATGGGAGTAGGTATATTTAAATGACCCTTAAAAAAGTATGTTCTATGTAGTATGAATGAGTCCGGACGCACTACATGCGCCATGTTGTTGTCGCGTGACATTCGCTGTCACAAGAATGCGAAAATTTGAAGAGCCCATTCCAGTGACTGCACCAACTTCGCACTGTTTTTAGTTCTGCTTTCTGTTTTCATCTGCGTTTTTACGTCGTCCGAGCCGACAATCAAGAGGAGGCGTCGGTCAGCTGCTCGCAGATCACGTCTTTTGCGGAATTTCTCAAATAACATTTATTTACCTAATAAATTTTACCTCATAAAACACACACACAACCCTTATAAACAATGACAGATGTTGATTTTTGGCAAGGAAAAAGCCATTTATTTGCTTGTGATATTACCATCGATAAATAAACATGAATGAATCAATAGAGATATGCATGTGTGTCTGTGTTTATCTCCTAACGTTACAGCCGCATCTCCGGTTTCCGCCATTTTCAAATATAACGACAACAACTCGTCTCCCGTGGCATCATGGGATAGTAAAGTGTCCATCGTATGCGCACTTCAGAATCTTGCAGGTAGTAGTAGGTCATCCGGGTACTTTTCGCCTACTGTTTTTCCAATTCTATGATTTCGGAAACATACTACTCTGCTCGCGTACTGTTTTTCGCATACTATATAGTAGGGAAGTATTCGATTTCGGACGCAGTTTAGGTCTACTTTCTCTGGGCTCGCTCACAGAATCCTGCGCTTAAAACGTGTTCAGTGCAATCGTGAATCTCTTCCCCAGATAACAATTTTAGGTAAAAACGTTTTCATAACGTTCACGTTAAATTATAAAAACGTAATTTCTGAATGTTTTAGGAATGTCCTGTTTTTAGACGTTGAATTAACATTATTTCTTGGTTATAAGAACGTTATTCAAAACGTTATAAGAACGCTCAGTTCTCTCGTTATAAACGTTGCATTAACATTCTTGCTTGGCTATAACGTATACAACTATAATAACTATAACTAAACGTCATTAGAATGTTCAATTCGTCGTATTTTAATTTCCTGGTTATAATGTTATTAGAATGTTAAGAAATAACAATTTTATAAATTGTTTTGAACAGCTTTGAACACCTGATTATGCATGAAAAAAAACGTCATAAACCGGAAAACCGGCTCAATTTTGAAAAAACAAAACAAAACATGATATAATTTTTTTTTTAAACCACCCAGCACTACAATCTGCCCATACAAGATTTTTTGAGCAAATGTGCATAATTATGCAGTTTTTATAAAATCCCACCATATGGCTTTCCAGACACTTAGAGGTTTCTATAAATTAAAAGGCATTTCAATCATTTAGGCAAATATGAGTCATATGATATCAGGCACATTTCAGCGGATTCACTCTGCATTTAAATGCGGTTTTCTCTCCAGTGTAACTGGCCGTTGATCCTCTTAGCAGCATGAAAGATAAAACTTTTATTCAAAGAGCGAGTAGATTATATGCATAAAGCCAAGCGCGCTCCCTAACTGTCAATCACTTCAGCGTTGTAATTGGAAGCAGAGCGTGAACACAAATAAGCATGGGGCCGTTTCGGCACCGCAAGTGTGTGAGAAGTGCAGCAGGTACCTGACTGTAGTCGATGTGGTGGTGGTGATGGGGGCGGGATCAGACAGGAACGGCCACAGCTTCCTGTCACACTTGTCATCAATGACGTTCTGCAGAGCAAGCAGAGTTTAAATAAGAATCATTACATTCTTACGGACTAAAAAAATCTTACGGACACAGCGTTTCCTGACCTCCATCACATCTTTCAGGATGGGCGTCCACCGGGAGAGCTGATATGTGGATTCTGTGCGTTCTTTCCTGTCGGGCAGAGTCTTCCCAGAATTAGTGCCCTACAAGACAGGACAGAGAACAGTTCCTGAATATTGTATATGTAATATTCCTGTAATATACATATATTGTATATGTAATGTTCCAGTGTATATTATTGAATATATATATTCAAATACACTGAATTTGCACGATTAATCGTTATAAGATGGCAATCTCGATTAAAAAAATCCAAGTGATTCTTATTCCTCAATGATTGACCTGTGTCTTTTAATTACACATTTGCATTTCCGCTACAGCTGAGCCAGAGAGAGCAGTTTCACATAACAATCGTATCAATTCCAACGTTACACCAGTAGGTGGCGACAAGTGACTGTTAAAAATGTATTTGTCATTGAATCATTCAATGAAGTAGCCTGGGAAAACGCGGAAGTTGAAGCCTTGTGGGAGCCGCCATTGTAACAGAACTTCACCTGCTGTTAGCATCCCATTGACTCCCATTCATTTTGGCATCATTTTGACAGCGAATAACTTTACATCTGAGGCGTTTGAAGATTCCATTTGTCCTTTATTTATTTCTAAAGACACACGACAATGTATAAAACGCTCCATTACTTTGTAGCCTCGTAGAATCCGTTTTTGTAAAAAATATGCTAACGATTGCGTCATAACCACGCAACTAAACAGGAGGACAAGCTCGCAGGCAATCTTTGACTGTCTATGAGGAAATCGGGGGGACATGGAGGCACAAAGTAAGAGATAGAGTCCATAAAAGCAACGGGACGAAATATTTCAACGTTTTTGAGGAATTAGGTGATTCAGGTTTGTCTTGACACAGCTACTAGAAGATTTACAACTGTCAGACTGTCGTTACGCTGAGTTTGAGCCTGTGCAGTCGCTCAGACATCAGACAGGAAGTGCAATAATCAGGCCTCAGTCTTCTCTGTTGAAATCAATGGGGTCGCTGTGTCCATTTCTTTCACTGTCTATGGCAAAGAGCTCATTCAAGCCCATTTCCAATCCGTCAAAATCGAGGCACCAATCAGAAAGCTTTGAGCGGGCTTTACATGATGACGACAGCACTGGGATTTTGAAGCCTACATTACAAAGATGGATGCCGCCGCTCGTTTGAATCAGCTATCGCGTCTTTTTTAAGTGATTTTTGACGTTTCCTTTTTGTTAAAAACCGAACAAAGAACAACACCATAGGAACAACACTCGGAGATGTTTCTGCATACGTCATCTCCTTCATCGCTCTGATTGGTTTTAGGTCTATCCGCGACGTCCGTTGGTGACGCCCCTCAGGAAATGATTTGTATATGATGCTTTGCCAGACCATAACTCAGTTACAACTCAGTTTTAACCAGACTATCAATGAAGAGATTCTTTCAAAAATTCTGATTCGCCCAGTAAGGAAACAAGTGTTTAGGAGTGAGTAATTGAATCATTCATTCAAACATATTTAAAAACAAAAATAGTTAAAGTTAATTAAACATTTTTAAAATAGACTGTAGAAATTAGCATTCTGTCTGTTTTACTGTATTTTACTGTATTTAATGTGTTTGTGTTTATATTTTGTATGCTGCAAGGTTTCTTTTTATGCTTTCTTTTTATATGCTCAATGTTTTAATGTTCAGCACTTTGTGCTATACAACAAAAATGTGCTATTGAAATACATTTTGACTTGACTTTTGACTTGACTTGAGAACTTCTAGTAAATGACAGGTTATTGTGTTCAGTTGTCTGTTCACTAAAGTCCATAATATAGAGAAAAATTCTGGAATGTTTTCATCAAAAACCTTAAAAATTTCTTTTCGACTGAAGAAAGAAAGAAATGGATATCTTGGATGTCATGGGGTGAGTAAATTATCAGCAAAAGTTTTTTTAAAGTGAACTACTCCTTTAAAGGAACACTCCGACTTTTTGGGACTTTAGCCTATTCACCTTACCCCCCAGAGTTAGATAAGTCCATACATACCTTTTTCATCTCCGTGCGTGCTATAAGTCTGTTTGACGCACCCACCGCTAGCCTAGCTTAGCACAAAGACTCGATGTGACTGGTTGCAGCTTTCATACTGATCCAAATGAGTGGCAAAATAACGCAAACGTTTTCCTATTTACATGTTGTGATTTGTATAGTCACATAATGTACAAATAACAAAGTCAAATGAGACACAGACATCTTTTAACCGTATAAAACCTGGGAACTATTCTCTGAAGGCGAAGCACTGCTACTTTGACGGCGTAATAACCGCATCACCGGAGACACGCCGTGGTGAGGAGCGGAGAGTTCGCTCGGTGTTTGGGTAATAGAGTCAGCAATTTATAAATAGTAAAAGCGTAGTTTAGAGTCATGGGGTTTCGCTCTATTGTAAATAGCTGCGACAGTAAACAGGGGAGGTAATACCATGTTTCACAGAATTCCAACTAAAAACGCTGACTGGATGAAGAAATGGCTAACTTACTCTGGATATTTATCCAAACACACCTAAGATT